TGACCAAGAAGACACTTTGGAAAAAAGTACAAGTACAACAAAGATGAATCAAACGCTAGAACTTGTGTTTCTTGTAAAATGGCAAAAATGGGGTGAAACAAAGATGAATCAATAGATAGTATATAATTCAATGCTCAGAATTGATTTCTCGTCCGCTATAACTAGAGACGGCAAGCCAGAAACATAAGCTTTTGAGGTGGCATAAATTTGTCTTAGACCAAGTAATTTTATTTATTAGAACCAATTTTATCTAGTAGAAGGAAAGAAAATTCTCTCTTTTTGAACCAAACTTTACATTGAGGTTAGCACATTTTTATATATACCAAGTCTTCGTGTGCTTAACAAATTTTCTAAACATAATAAAAATAGTGTTTCTTGAACAAAATGATAAGACAGACAGTACAGAAATGCATATACCAACTTTTTCTGTATAGTATATATACATGGGTGGCTAGCTTCCTTAGGAGAAACAATCAAAATCTTTGCTGGTTGACCGCATAATTTTTAAATAGGCCGTCAACTTAAAAATAAAATAAAAAATAAAAAAATGGGCGTAGCTCTCATTGAAAGGGTCATACAAACTAAAGGCTGTTCTTGTTGCTAGAGTATTGTTTAATATAGGGAATATTTTAACTCCAAATTTAAAAGAAAAGACTGCTATTTTTCATCTTTCAAAAGATGGAGATTAGATCTCTTCGCGTATATATATATATACACTCTACCTTTGATGATTGCATTTTTTAGTGAAAGAAGAAAAGTATGAAATTGTAAGTCAGTGCTCGTCTGTCTGTGTTCTTTTGTTTTACAGCTCGTGATGAGATAGAAAGTGAACGCGCAAGGACAGAAAGAGAGAGAGATAGATACATAATTGTGATGATATGCCACGTGGAGGGTAGAGTAGTCTAGAGCCTTGAAAAATGTCTTGCCTGTCTATGAGTTGTTGTTGAGACAACCACAGCCATGTCCAGTGTCCTTTATTTGGACTCACCGAGGCCTCCTGTTCTTCTTTCACCAAAATTCTTCTTACCATAAGATACAGTCTAGATTTATTGATTCTGGGTTTGAGTAAATTTAGGATCCTCTCTTTCTCTGACTCTACAAGAACAAACCAGACATTATAGTACAACAACTGTGTCTTTCTTTGTTTACATAAAATGAATGAATGGTGTCATTAATCTTGAGTCAACTTATTCTGAGTTTGTCGAAGTTGATCCTGCTGGAAGATATGGAAGGGTATGAATTAC